GATAACAGTCCCAGCCGGCCCTTACAACATATATATTTTTGGCCAAAACTTACACACATATATGACAACGCACGTGCAACCAAAACATATATGACACCGCACGTGCAACCGAAACGTATATGACAACACACGTACATAAAAAAAATACAGAACTACACAACGAAAGCACACGCTCCAACATAAGGAGACAATACAAACGACAAACGTAATGCCATATTTAAAGTTTTTGCAGGATATGAACCAAGTTCACACAACACATCTCGTCATCTTCAACGATGGACGATGTTCCCGTCACTAGATGAAGTGTCGACATCAATGTGAAAGATGTTGTAGAATTTCTGTCACTGAGTCGTCAAGACAATTTTGGAGGAGAGAAGATAACATGTCAGGCTTCAGATTTCGTTGTTTTAGTTGAGGAGACGGGTTCGATCAACGGTAATTCCGAAGAAAGACGGAAACGTTTCATCAACCGAAGCTGTCAAAATGTCACCACAAGTCGTCGATAGACGCAGTGAACCAAGAGGTGAAGTGTTGCTCTTTCAAAATTTCGACAAGTTACCGCTTAATGATCCGACCATGCATTGTACGCGCCAACTTCTCGAAAGGGGGCAATTGTTAGTGCAATTATTTGGCAATATATTTTGCATTAAAGAGAGTTGATCACAAAAGTAAAAGAGGCTTAATGATGGCTGTTGTAACGGATTTGTGTTTATTGCTGTAGTTATCAACGATATTAAGGCTGAAGGTTACTTATTTTGAGCTGGCCAGCATTGATGACGAGTTGCGAAACTGACGACGGGTCAGAACTGTTACGTCAAACCGCCAAAACAGACAAATTGAGTCATTGAAGCGTCAAGAATATCATTTTTAAATATTGTAACGTTTTTTGTACATTATTAGGCTCCTTAATGTGATTAAGGAGGGTATTAAATGTGTTTGACCAGCCTTTATGACGGATTTGAATCCGTCGGTACGTAACGGATGACCAATCCGTCGATAACGGAAAAAACCATCATTAGAGCTTTCATTGCTTTTCTTATAAATAGAATAGCCTCATTGTAATCAAAGAGCTAAAACATTCGAATAATACTCAAGTTTTCCTTCTTGTTCACTCTCTTGTCATCTCCTTCTCTATTCTTGTTCGAAGCCCTTTCTTTATACAAATTCCTTTTTAATTAGTTTTAGCTTATCAATATTTTGCTTAAACAGTAGTAGTACACATTATTGGTGACATATTGTAGTATACATAATATAATACCTAGTATTAGATAGGCTAATTATTGCTCTAGTTATTATTTGAACAATTAAGAAAAAATAATCATAGTAATAGTTGTAGTAGTAGCGAAAGTACTTACTCCGTATATTAATTACTTGCTACTACTATTATAATAATAATTATAATAATAATGATAATCATAATATAAAAAGAAAAATAATATTAAACCAGATATGACTAAAAACAACAATAAAATAAGGTCTGGTCTAGTCTGGTATGAACTGGTCTAGTAAACGTCTGGTCTATGTGTATTTTAAAACTACGGAAATCAAATCTGATCTATTTAAGTTTGGTCTGGTACTGAAAAACAGTTCAAATAAAAGCATCATCAATTGAATACACATGTCATAAATGCTTCACTTAATGTCGGATTCGATCATACTACGTACTCGCTGATAATAAAAAGAACAATAGTACTCGTAAACAGTTAGAGACGTTAAACAGTTCAAATTAAGGATAACAAGATAACATGATTTCACTACTATGAGTCCATGGTCATGTTTAATTCCATATATTAGATCATGATAATCTGGCAACGATTTGTAATGGCTATGCAGCTTCTTTAGTTTCATTGCATCATGTATGTACTTGTTCATTAGATGATGAGATTACTTGTGTACAGTTAAATGATCGAAAAACTCTTTTCAGATCACATGATGCAGCTTGCTAAAGCAAAGAGTACGGTTATAAAATGTGGTAAAAATGTGACATCTCCAAATTAAAGTTTGGTTGATGCACGAAAAAGGGAGTTTAAGTTTAAATTAAAAGCGCTAGCAGCTTTCATGTAATGTAGAGGTCTTTTTGGTAATCCTTTTTTGAACTTATCAGATTTATCGGTCCATATTTTATTACTAAACACATAACTCTTGATTTCACATGCTGAAATATGTAATAATAAAAATAAGTAAAGGTGAAATCACTTTTCTATCTGAATTGACAAAAATTATTGTAGATGATCCTTCTAACTATTTTCGTGTAATTTTTTTTTTTTGTCATTTTTTAACAAATATATTTTAATTATCATTTCTCTATAATTAAACAGATTTGTCCAATTCAATCTCTTAAATCACAACTTCACAAATTCAATCACAAATTTTATCTAACGAACTTGTGCTATCGTTTATCAACAAGGATCCACGTCAGCATTTGCTTATAGTTTTTAATTAATGGGTTTTGTTTGGTAGTCCATGATTAGGTCACCTGCTTTTATTAATGTTATCTCTAATCCATCATATTTGTAGCTTTGCATCCACTATCTTGTTATCATCAAACTTCAAAATTTATTGGCCCCCCACTGTTTGATTCTTTCTTTGTGGAGGAAAGCCATTAATTAATCGCTTCATTCATTTCACAATAATGAGTGTCTTCAAGAAGAAATAAACAGAACACAAGATGCATTATATGAGTATATGCTAAAATATGGCATGGCACAAGCTAGATAGCGTTATGCGCGAATTACTATAAATGAATAATATATGCTCCTTGATTGCTTTATTTGAAACTTGAGGTAAAGAAAGATGTTAAGTTGGAAATTTTGCATTAAAGCATCTCTAGATTTATGAAAGACTAGGCATTTTATTAAGGTTACCTCTACTAATGAATATGGAATATTTTCGGTGCAAATATTCCATAACCTTCAGGGCCCTGATATAGGGGCAGAATGGGCGGCTGCCCAGGGCCCACTAGAAAGAGGGGCCCACAAATTATTTAGTAGTAGTGGTGTGTGTGTGTATTGAGTCTCGTTCACCATAAGTGCATTTGATCGGAAGTTCTGTACGGCCAAATCCATTCGAGATGCTTCCGGATGAAATTGTTTGATAAAAGGTTGTGAACATGTTTTTCATCAAGTGTAGATTAGTTTCACAAAATTTCAGCTTAAAATTCAATCAGGGAGTCTGCTAAATAAATTATTGAAAAAAAGTGCGCTTTATATATGTTTAAAAAGCGCATTGTGTTTTAATAATTTATTTAAATAACTTCCCAATTGAATTCGATTACAAATATCATTGTTCAATTAAATAAAATTGAAGAACATGCTCACAAAACTTTATCAAAAAATTGACAAAATCATTTTGTCAATCACGCCTGACCATATCATTTCCTTATACTCTAATACTTTGTAAAAGATACCTCTCAACCTCATATCCATAGGCTTAGCCACAACGGCAAAGCTACTGTTAGGCAACGATTCTTCCAGCTCAGGTCTCCGAGTTCATCCACAAAGGATGAATTTCACCACCAAGGTCAACTAGGGGAGAATGGGCGTCAACCAACAACCTTGATTTCCGGCCAAAAATGGTTTTGGCTCCACCGAGGAGCAGAGGTGCGCTTTTAGGAGAAGGGTTTCGGCCAGCCTCTTCATCGGTAGTGAGAATAGGATTAAATAGGCGCATCAAAGGAATAAAGATGGTAACTTACCTTTGATAGATGAAGGTTTGAATCACGCAGGTATTGGGAAAGGAAAGTATCGATCGTTCAGGGGAGAAAGCCGATCGAGAAGATACTCAACCAACGGGCCGGAGCATTAGAGAAGTAAATGGGCTTATGGGATCAAGTGGGCCAAAACCAACAGCTACACACGAAACACGACTGAGTGATTTCTACCTTGCTCATAGAAGCCGAGGATTAAAAATTGATACGAAGTGGTATAATTGACAATTTTGCTTTTTAAGAATGCCTAACAAATTGATATGTATGGCTTATGATACTGAATAGTTTTATGGACAAAAACATTTACTTGTGTACGAATTTAATTCTTGACAATGAAACTTTTGTAATACGTTCTTATAACATGTATAATTAGGGATCTGTTTTTTGTCTTTTGTCCCAAGCCTACTGATAGCATGGAACTATGTTTGTTTATGTGTGTAATTTTAACTAGTTTTATTTGTTGTTGTTTGGGAAATTACACACTTTTGGTGTAATACTTTATTTTTCTTATTTGTTTGTAATTTGTATAAATTAGGATTATTCTGAGCTTTAACTAGGTAAAGATCATCAAAAGGATCCTTTGAAAGGTGAAGGAAAGTGCAAGGGAACAAGATCAAGTGAAAATTTGGGGAAAAAGTCATTTACCCCGATCGGGTAAAGAATATACCCGATCGGGTATTGACTTGATTCGAAGATCAAATCTGATTTGGAGGCAATTTAACGTGCATGGTGAAGATTTGGCAAAGATTTGTCTTTTACCCGATCGGGTAATCAAAAACCCGATCGGGTAAGATGTGACAAATGAAGATTCCGGGCAATTTCTCAGGAAACCCGATCGGGTTTCTCAAAAACCCGGTCGGGTAAATGGCCCTGGCAGCTCCAAACACCTATAAATACACCCCCTTTCCTTCCCATTAAAATACCAATTCACATATACTCTTTAGCTCAGTTTAGATTAGTGTTTTCTTTATATTTTCTATCATGTTTAGTCTCCAAATGAGGAGCTAAACTCTTCCATCTTGGTTTCGCTACTTTGAAGCTTAATGAATTTGTAAGTTGTGAGTTATTCTCTTTAATCTTCTTCCTTGAATATTAATTCTTCCTTTAAATACTATTTCTATATCAATGTTGGGGAATGTTACTAAGATGACAATTAGTTAACATCTTGACATTAGTTATAGTAATAATTACTTCTTCCTCTACGTTAATATTGGGGAGTCACTACAAAAAAACAGCGTTATAGTCACGGATTTTAGTCACGGATTTCGTCCGTGACTAGTTTAGTCACGGTCTAGTCACGGATTTGTCACGGAATTTTTAAAAAAAAAATAGTCACGGTCAGGGCCGTGACTTTGACCGTGACTAACATTAGTCACGGTCCATGACCGTGACTTAATTTCTCCGATAGGCCAATTCCCGTTTCCGGCGCAGTTTTTTTGATTCCGATGATTTAGTCACGGCCAAATCCGTGACTATGCCCGTGACTATAATTAAAATTTAATTTTTTTCAACTCCCTTGGTTAATTCGCAACGGCATTATGTACGGATAATTGTAGTCACGGCCATATCCGTGACTAGTTCCGTGACTATGTTGATTAACACGTCATTTACACGTAATTAACACGTGTTGGACGCGTGTTGGACACGGTTTTGCTTAGTGACGGACAAATCCGTGACTAAGTCCGTGACTAAATTTTTTATATATGCAGGAGCAGCTCATTCATTCAACAGAACCACACCAATTCATTCCCAGTATATACAGTATCCGTAGATCGAAGGATGTAGTCTATCTTCTATCATTTTCCCTGTTTATGCAGATAAGGTATGTTATTTGAATTATAATTTTTATTTAGAATTAGTTGGTTCAATTTAAATTATTAAAACTATTAAATTAGTGAGGTTGTTAATTAATTAACAACATGTTTTAACTATAAGCGTAGTAATGTCATAAATTAGAATTAGTTAAACTTTAGTGAATTGTTATATTATTGGGTTGAATTTGGTCATATTATTTAATTTAGTGAATTGTTAATTGTGTATTACTAATAAGATTAAATGTCATTAACGTAATAATTTAGTGTAGGTTTAAACGTAGGTTTACAAAAATAATTTAATTAAAATTCGTTTGCTAAACGTAGGTTTGAACGTAGCTATTGATGTGTTAATTAAGTTAAATTAGGTAGCTAAACGTAAGTTTAAACGTAGTGATGCATTAAAAGGGGACGGAATGAACTAGTTAAATTTAGTTAAATTTAACTAAATGAATTAGTTAGATTTAATTAAACGTATGTTTAATATAGTGAAATTATCTGCATTATTGTGCATTAGGGGACATATATATTGTGCATAACTAAGATGTGAATTCTGTGCATTTCATTTAAAAAAAGTGAAAATTAGTTGATTATATTTAGTGAAATAAATTACTTAAAATTGTGTGCATTGCATTTCATCTAATTTTTTATTATAATATTCAGGCATAATGTATAAAAAAAATAGAAGTTGGATGTATGATAAAGATGCGGTATTGTACGGAATGCAATCAAATTTTCTCGAGGGAGTCGGAGAATTTATTGAATTTGCACTTGAACATCCGGCTTATATGAGTGGTGATAAAATAAGATGTCCATGTTCAAAGTGTAAAAATCTCAAATTTAAAGACCCACACGAAGTTGGGTATGATTTGTACGCGGTCGGTTTTGTTCCCAATTATTATAATTGGACTTCTCACGGCGAACCTTTGGATCCATCTGTTATACCACAAACGGTAGGTTCGTCTCGTTACGTCCCTCCAGAGATGAGTGCGTGGGGAGACCGTGCTGAAATGAGGTGGGACCAACAAATGGTATATGACGCATACGGTGTACCGTCTCAATTCAACCCCCCACAACCACCTAACGACCCCCCTGAAGCCTCAACCTCGTATCAACCAGATGCGGATGAAAATCCGACATTTTATCAACCTTATGTGGATGAAGGTTTGGCTGAGAGATTTCAGGATGTTCTAAAAGCTGTCGACCAACCTCTGTATGCTGATTGTGAGGGATACTCTCAGCTATCCGCTGTTACTGAGTTCATGAACATAAAAGCCGAATACAGTCTCCCTGAAACTTGCATGAATAGAGTCTTGCAGTCAGTAGGAGGGATGCTACCGCGAGATCATACCCTTCCCGATTCATATTACCACATGAAGCAGTTAATGTCTAAGTTGGGGCTACCTTGTGTTGAAATTGATGCGTGCCCGGAAGGATGTATGTTGTTCTGGAAGGAGGATGAGGCACTTGAGTTCTGCAAGTTCTGTGGTGGAGACAGATACAAACCTGTTCGTCAAAATAAAAAGAAACCACGACATAGGTCTGCACTGTCTAAACTGTATTACCTCCCAATAGCTCCTCGACTGCAAAGGATGTACGCTTCGACTGCTACTGCGAAACACATGACATGGCATGTTGAGCACGAAACCAACGAGGGTATGATGGCTCACCCTTCGGACTGTGAAGCCTGGAGACACTTTGACCGCTGTCATCCTCAGTTTGCTATGGAGCCACGAAATGTGCGACTGGGATTGTGCTCAGATGGATTTGCTCCTTTTGGCAGGTTTGGCAAGAACTATTCATGTTGGCCGGTCATGTTAACACCTTACAATCTCCCTCCCGACATGTGCATGAAAAGTCATTTCATCTTTTTGTCTTTAATTTGTCCGGGTTCCAAGGATCCTGGGCGAAAGATAGACATTTATCTCCAACCCCTTATCGAGGAGATGAAAGAACTGTGGGCCGTTGGGACACCAACTTATGATGTTTCATCAGATAAAATGTTTATCATGAAAGCTGCCATCATTTGGACCATTAGCGACTTCCCTGCCTATGGCATGCTTTCGGGATGGAGCACACACGGTCTGATGGGATGTCCGATATGCATGGAGAAATCAGGTGCCAACTGGCTCAGTTACAGCAAAAAAGGAAGTTACTTTGATTGTCACCGCAAGTTTCTCCCGGAAAGGCACCGATATCGAAAGGACAAGAAGTCTTTCATTAGAGGCAGAGCGGTTCGAGAGAGCCCACCCCCGAGATTGACCGGTGAAGAAATTTATAACCGGGTTCGACGTTTCCCTACGGCTATGGAAGAGCCAAACCAAGAGCCATATGGGTATTGTGATACCCATAAGTGGACAAAGAGGAGCATATTCTGGGAGTTGCCTTATTGGAAAAACCTTCTCATCCGTCACAATTTAGATGTCATGCACACCGAGAAGAACGTCTTTGACAATATATTTAACACGGTGATGGATTTGAAAGGCAAAACTAAAGACGGTCTTGCAGCTAGGAAAGATATGACTATTTGGTGTGATAGACCCGAACTTTCTGTTGATCTAGAATATCAGGGCAAGGAAGTTCCAAAAGCAGTCTACCAGGTCACAGAACCACAAAAGGCAGCAATATTAAAATGGCTTGCGTCTCAGAAGTTTCCAGATGGCTACTGCTCCAACTTGTCTAGATGCGTAGACATGAACAAACTTACCACGACGACGAGCATGAAAACTCACGATGCTCATGTAATAATGCAAAGACTTCTACCAATTGCACTAAAAGAGATGCTCCCTGAACACGTATGGTCCTGCATGACTGAAATCAGTTTGTTGTTTCAATCGATATGTTCCAGCGTTTTGGATGCGGCATCCCTCCGGAGACTACAAGAGTCTGTTCCCATTCTGATGTGTAATCTGGAAAAAATAATGCCACCATCGTTTTTCGATGCAATGGAACATCTCATTATACATCTTCCGTATGAGGCTTTGACTGCTGGGCCCGTCTTCTATCGGTGGATGTACAGATTTGAAAGGTTAGTCACAATTTCATTTAAAAAAAGATTATTTATTTCACAATAACTATTAATTGTGCTGTTATTGCATTATTGCAGATTTCTAGGAGAGCTGAAAAAGAAAGTGACCAACAAGGCACACGTTGAGGCTTCAATTTGTCAAGCGTATCTTCAACAAGAAATCTCAACGTTCTCGTCTTTTTACTTCGAGCGTGAAGTCATCACCAGAAGGAAGAGACCTGCCCGGAACGATGACATTGGCGAGGATTTATATGAAAATGTAGTTTCCATCTTCAATTACCCAGGCAGAGGTAAAGGTGCTGCGACACAACGATACATCCTGGGTGGGGAATTGCAAATTGCGCATACTTATATCCTCATGAATTGTCCAGAAATCTCACCGTTTTATCAGTAAGTTAAATTTGTAGTTATAATTGTAATACTTATAAATTAAATTTGTAGTTAATTTATAGTTTTTTTTTTTTATTTTTGACTTCACAGTGAATTCCGAGCTTCTTTATCAGCCTTTCCTGAGAATGAAATAGATGCGTTGGTGGACTCTGATTTTGTAAATTGGTACAAGTATCAGGTATATATACACACACATTAATTATATATATTACCTAATGTTTACCTAATGTTATTATTATGTTTATATTTACAGATCAATAGTCGTGGGATTGTCGACCCTTTGTTAGTATCATTAGCGTGGGGCCCAGGTGCCAGTGCCAAAGTGTGGCGGCAATATGTGATAAACGGTTACACATATCACACAGCCGATTACGGAGAGGGCCGACCAACAACGAACAGCGGGTTATGTGTCCCGACCATCGGTTATGATAACTCGGAAACCAGTTTTTTTGGTGTCCTGCAGGAGATTCTGGAACTTGAGATGCCTTCTTGTGCGAAAAAATTGACATGCGTTCTGTTCCGTTGCACATGGGTCGACCCCACACGTGGCGTGCGCAAAAATCCGAAGTATAATATGATTGACGTCAACCTCTCTCGTGTGTACCCAAAAAATGAGCCTTTCATACTCGCCCAACAAGCAGCGCAGATTTATTATGCAGAATATCCTTCAACAAGGCGGACACAGAATCCTTGGGTGTGTGCATGTCCTGTCCGTCCGAACAAAATAAAATCACAAACTCAACACAAGGACGTTGATCTAGATGCTTTTCAGCAACAATTTTTCCAACCTCCGCCTATTGTTGAGACGGTCAACTATAACCTCCAATTAAGTGATCCAAATGGCGGACGTGTTGAAGTCATGCCAGAAACGCACCTTCCGGACCCAACCATTCCATCTGAGCGCGAAATTGAGGAAATGTATGTAGCACAACAAAATGCTCAATATCAGGAAGAAGGTGAATGGATAGACGGTTCAGATACAGAAGAAGATACTGTATATGTAGAAAATGACGATTCTGATAGCGAATAATTGTGCTGTTGTAATTTCAATTTTATTGACTTCTAATATTTGTGCAGATTTCTTCATCATTATATTACTCCAACAATATTTGAATTTTTTTCTATCTTTATCATTATTATTTATGAACAAAAAATTACTCCATATTAATTCAACCACAACAAGTTTTTTATATCCATATTATAAATTCAAAATAAAATTTTTCACAATTCAAAGTTTGAAAATTAAAATTTACCCAATACAAAATATGAAATTACTCTATATTATATTCTTTTATTTTCAAATTCGAAAATTCAAATATTATTTTTGATTTTTCTAAATTCGAAAATTTATTTTAATAATTTTTAATAATTCGAAATTCGAAAATTAATTTTAATAATTCTAAGTCTATTCGAAAATTAACAAAATTCGAAAATTAAAAAAACAGTAATCTACTTTTACTAATCTGAATATTATAATAAATTTAGATATTAATAAACAACTAACAGATATTTATTTATCAAATTTCAAAGATAAATACAAAACACACAATGAAATTGTCACATATTATTTATTAAACAACTAACATAGATTTATTTATTACATTAGCCTAACTAACATTATTCATTCCTCAATCGGAAACTTTCAAGAGGCCTAGCCCACAACTCCTGAATTTTCATTCGAGCTTCTTCGTTGATCGGGTCCATATACTCTGAAACTTCTTGTGCACGTTGAAGCATCCGACACAAATTTCTTGCTTTTGACTTGCCCAACGAGTCGGATTCTTCATCTTTATAATCGCCAAAACTTTCAAGGGGTCTAGACATCAACTCCTTGATTCTCTCGTATGCTTCCACGGTTTTCGGCTCCATAAGCTCTGTAATCAGCTTAAGTCGTTTCATATCTCTACACATCGAATCCCAGTCAATTGGACCTCTATTAGCCATTTTTTTTTACAGTTCAGTCTTGGGCCGGAGAAAGATTATTTATACTAAAAAATTTCAAGTTGTCACGGTCTTAGTCACGGTCAGGACCGTGACTAAACCCTTCGTAAATGTCGAAGTCAGTCCGCCGGTCAGAGTGGCGCTGACAATAATAGTCACGGTCAGAACCGTGACTATGACCGTGACTATTTTCAAAATTTGAAAATAGTCACGGTCATAGTCACGGTTCTGACCGTGACTATTCTGATTAATGGCGACTCTGACCGGCGGACTGACTTCGGCATTTACGAAGGGTTTAGTCACGGTCCTGACCGTGACTATGACCGTGACTAAACCCTTATATAAAACGAACACTTAGCGTTTTTTTTAAAAACCTACGCACCCAACTCCCAAACCCTAACTTCCTCTTCCTTCTCTCTTCCCTCTCTTCCAGTTTAGACAGTGCCGCCGCCGCCTAGCCGTCCGCCGTCAGCCGCCTAGCTGTCCGCCGTCGCCGCCTAGCCGTCCGCCGCCGTCCGCCGCCTAGCCGTCCGCCGTCGTCCTCCGGCCGCCTTCGTCCACCTTCTTCCGTCGGCCCTTCTTCAGTCAAGGTTATGTGTTTGTTCATCTTATTCGATTAAAATTCCAATATTTGATTAAAATTCCAAAAATGCATGATTGTATACTCAAATGCATGATAAGATGCACGAATTTTAGTTTCATATCATTTTGTAATCTTCAAAAGTTATATGTATGATTTATTATATGCATGATTTGTAGTTTTGCATGTTAATTTCATTTTATATGTTTCGTATGCATGATTAATATATGTTAAATGTAGATTATTTATATGTTAATATATGTAGATTTTTTCGTATGCAAAAAAAACTTGGCAAAACACTGTTTTAGTTTATATGTTTCATATGCATGATATGATTTATATGTTTTGTATGCATGATAATTATGTTTAAATGATTTAAATTATTATATGTGTAGTATATGTTCTTATGCATGATTAATAATATTTAATATATATGATTAGTGTGTGATATGCATGCCTCTCAATGGTTAACCCGAAATATTAAAAAAAAAATTGCCCCCTCATGTTAAGCTTTCACAAACTTAACATGTTTAATTCTAATTTTACAAATTTTTATAAACAAATTTTATAAACTGTTTTATTAAAAAGCTGTTTTAATAAAAAGTGTTTTTATAAAAACTGTGTTTATAAAAATTTCACAAGCTTTCACAAATTTTTGTGAAAACTGTTTTAATAAAAAGTGTTTTTATAAAAACTGTGTTTATAAAAACTGTTTTTATACAAACTGTTTTAATATAAACTGTTTTTATAATTTATCTAAAAAAAACTGTTTTTACAAAAATTGATATATATAAACTGTTTTATATAAAATGTTTTATTAAACAGATTTTTGTAAAAAACAGTTTTTATAAAAAGTTTTTTTATGAAAACTGTTTTTATTAAAACTGTGTTTATAAAAACTGTTTTTATTAAAACTGTGTTTATAAAAAGTTTTTATTAAACAGTTTTAATAAAAAGTGTTTTTATGAAAACTGTTTTTATTAAAACTGTGTTTATAAAAACTGTTTTTATACAAACTGTTTTTATATAAACTGTTTTTAAAATTAATCTAATAAAAACTGTTTTTATAAAAACTGTTTTTAATAAAAACTGTTTTTATACAAACTGTTTTAATATAAACTGTTTTTATAATTTATCTAAAAAAACCGGTTTTACAAAAATTGATATATACAAACTGTTTTATATAAAATGTTTTATTAAACAGATTTTTGTAAAACAGTATTTATAAAAACTGTATTTATAATAACTGTTTTTATAAAAACTGTATTTATAATAACTGTATTTATTAAAAAACAGTATTTATAAAAACTGTTTTAATATAAAGTGTTTTTATAAAAACTGTATTTATAATAACTGTTTTTATAAAAACTGTTTTAATAAAAATTGTTTTAGTAAAAACTGTTTTAATAACAACTGTTTTAAAAACTCTTTTATTAAACAGATTATTTTTAAAAATAGTTTTTTGTAAAACTTGATTTAACAAACTGTTTTAAATTTATTTTAAAATGATATATCTAAAACATAAAAAAATGATCTCCTCTCATGTAAACTTTGCAAAAAGTTTAACATGTTACCTCCAAGTGCAATTTATTACCAAATTATTTAAGAACTTATTATGAAAAAATATGGACCCCTCATATTAAACTAAAAATAGTTTAATATGCTATACACATTTTCAATTAATAATACTTGTATAAATTTTTATAGTAAAAAATAATAAATATACCCCAAACTTTAATGGACCTTTAGTAAGCACACCTCAAACTTTTATAAGCGTTCTAACAAAAAACAAAATAAATTAATATATTTTAGATGAGCAACGAACAATCGACCTCGGCTCCCCGCCCTAACCATGCGCCTATGTCCGAAGCGGAGCGCAACAATGATGGAGCTGTTTGGGTGACGCCTGCAGAAGTTCTTTTGTAAGTAGTTATGAAAAACCTTATTTTCAATAATTTTATATAATGTTAAATAATCAAACCAAATCTTATATAAATAAATACTATTAATTTTTTTAAGTGACGAACAAGTGTTCACGGGCATCAAAAACATCATCGGAGGACACTTTCTTGGCACTTGGGCCACACTGTCAGATGTTGACCCCAAGGTTCGCGAACTATGGTGGAACCTGTTCAAGGTAAAAATAAATGAATGTTCCCTTCCTGATTGTATTGGCCTAATATATACCTGGTGATTAATTAATCCAATTTGTTTTAATAAAGGCTCGCTATCGTTGGACTCACGCACACGGTGCCGATATTCTTAAAGCCTACAATGCTAGGATTTCGACCTGGCTTCGCGCCACTTTTAAACGGGCGCGAAAAAGTGGGAAAAAGCCTAGATGGGTTTCGGATGAAGTGTGGTCCAACCTTTGTCGCCACTGGTCTTCTGATCCGAAATTCTTGGCCAGAAGTGAATCCGGTAAGAAAAACCGGATGTCCGAGAAGGCCTTGGAGATGCAGTGGCACGGAGGTCGTAAATCTCAGAATGCCCATAAAGAAACTCTTGTAAGTGCTATTCAAAAAACCTTACAACATCACATTCCTTTATTATAAAAAATTTAATTTAAGTCTTTTTCACACCATTTAGGCTGGTCCTGAGAAGAAGAAGGTTGATGTTCTCCGGCTCGTCAAGCATTGCTGGACGAAGCACGGCGAGGAATCTGAAGCCGATTTGCCACCCCGCCTCGCTGACTTCGAAGTATGTAACATCATATTTTGTTATTTAGTAACATTTAAAATCTAAGTATGTAGCATTTAAAAAATCTTTTTGAAAATGCAGACGAAGTACAACGAATCCCTCGACAGGCAGCGTGCGGCACGAGGCTTGACCCAGGAGGACGACCTCGATTCCGATGCGGATGATGAGGCGGCCATTGAGGCGGCCGGGGTTTACAAGGGCCGGGTTCCGTGCTTAGGGGCCGAGGGGCAACGGATTTTGTATGATCGAAGCACCGGCGCTTCCTCTTCTCGGTCAAGGCGGGGAGAAGATCCCCGTATTGCCACAATGCAGCGTGAACTGGAGGAGCACGAACGGCGATGGGAGGAGCAGCGGAAAGCAGATGCTGCTACAAAAGCCCGGTTGGAGGAGATGGAACGGTACATGCGTGCCGGATTCCAGCCTCCGCAACAGCCTTTTCCTCCCCCGTACGTATTCCACCCTGAGCAAACTCCTCAAGTTCAGCACATGGGCGGTATGGGATTTTTCCCCAACTCCGGATATGGTGGCATGCCTATGATCTCCCCGAATTTCGGTTCTATGTCCTTTGATTTTGCGAGGTCATCCGGAGGAGGTAGTGGCACGCCGAGCCACGGAGGCCGAGGAGCACCCCGAGGAGGACCCCGAGGAGCACCCCGAGGAGGAACCCGAGTTGACCCTGAAGACCCCCCCGTGAACCCAGATGAGTTTCTTGTTGATGATGAAGAAGAAGAAGAAGAAGAAAATCCCAATTTTTATCATAATGGAGTCCCACGGGACATGTAATCATCATACATTTATTATTTGTTGTATTTCAAAACTTTTAAAAGTTTGTCACAATATTTATTGAATTTGTTGTATGTCTTTATTCTTAAAATGTATTTATTTTAAAAAAAATAGTATAATATTTTCAATAACTCATTTTTTAAAAAACATTTTGAAATTTAATTTGTAAACTTCCGTTTTTAAAAAAGTAATTTTTAAAAAAATTTAAAAAAAAAACAAACGAAAACTGGATTTTTTTTTTTTTAAAAAAACAAAAAAAGTAGTCACGGGCTTATCCGTGACTATTATTAATCCGAAATTATTATTTTTTTAAATAAAAAAATAATTAGTCACGGTCGACAACCGTGACTAATTTCAAAATTTTAAATTACCGCCGCGGGCGGTCTTTTACTCAATTTGAAAATTTGAAATATTAGTCACGGTCCAAAGCCGTGACTACTAAAATTAATTTTTAAAAAAAACTTAGTCACGGTTTCTGACCGTGACTAATACGCCGGAGTGGGTTTCCGGCGGGTATTATAGTCACGGCTTCTGACCGTGACTAGTCCGTGACTAAATTTAGTCACGGTTCGTTGGACGTGACTTCAATTTAGTCACGCCCATTAAGTCACGGATTTAGTCACGGCCAGCGACCGTGACTACATCATTTAGTCACGGAAAAATTGAACTGCTGTCCGTGACTAAGTCCGTGACTACGACCGTGTTTTTTTGTAGTGAGTGTTACTAAGATGACAATTAGTTAACATCTTGATATTAACTATAGTAGGATTCATCTTCTTTAATATTCTTTCTTGAGTATTAATTAATTCCTATTCATATTTCATATTAATATTTTGAACATTACTTAAAGGATCAACTAGTTTTGTTTCATATACTTCGTATTAATTAATACTAGAATCAGTCAATTAATTCGGTCCTTTCATGGTAGTAAACTTGGATTATTAATGCATGCATCTCATGGTTAATAATCTAAGGGGAATTAATTATATTGATTAAACCAATAAACCGTTTGTGTTGAGGTTATCAATCTCAATCGTTTTCATCTTAAGTTTATTGCTACTATCAAGTTAATATACGGCGCTTGTTCTATATTGACTCGATAGTAAGTTTTATTAATGAACGCTTCTCATTATTAATAACTACCCTCGATGAACTGGATATACTCCTCGATTGAGTATTCGAGAGGAAGATAGTTAAAGATATAACCGGGATCGACGAACATTTCATTAAGTGGATAAAAGCAAAACCAAGTCTTCTTCTCGTTAATTAAACCACATAACTCGTTCATCTTTGTGTTTTAATATTCTAAAAAGTTCATCAAACAATCATAAAAACCCCCTTTGTTACTTATTTCTAATTCTATAAAAAGAAAAGTGTTCCTTTCCCTGTGGATACGAACCTTACTACACTATACTACGTATTAGTGTCGTATTGTATTATTATTATTTTGAGTGCACATCACGACAAAGTGCACGTCACCTACAAATTGCCAGGACCGACCCTGATTAACCTTGTATCACAGATTCACGGGTGCAAATTGACTAAACATAAAGTGTCAAGAAAAATTTGCGAAGTATATAGACAGAAATGAGAAAGACGAACGTAAAAGAGAGAGAGAAAGACGAGCGCTTTGTTTCTAAAAACGCTAACACTTAATATACGGAGTATTTAATATTTGTCATAACATATACTCTATGATAGATGATTGATAGGGAGTATATATCCTAAAGTGTGTTTAAATTTTTTTTAGTATTACTGCATATAATATTTGAGTCAGCATCAAACAAAAATTTATGAAGGTGTTCTAAAAATTTGGAATACAAAATAGCATATCCCAATTTCCATCAACAAAAATGAGGTATGTACGACCCAATATAAAAGCCTCATAGAAAAGATTTGTTGGAGAAATTCGTCGGAACCTGCAAAACAATGTTTAGAAAAATAAAACAGCCCGAGACGCGCTAGTCGCTGTCCTAAAGAAAGTATTTCCGGTGGCCGGAAATCTTCCCCAAGATATAACGGGCTCTTCGGCTAATTCGCCGGACACAAAAACTACGAGGAGAAAAGAATTTTTATAACCCAGCATTTGGTAGTATATTAGTATATGTGTAATATGCTTCATAAGAGTGGATGTACGTTTGTGTCTACATTGCATGAAAAGTATCTCCGGCCATATTTATAGACATACGTCCAAGTTTTCAAAATAAAGAAAAATTATCAGTTGGAGTTTTTCACCCTCGAGCGTAGGAGATACCGAGATATATGCGGTCATCCAAGACCGATTCCAACTTACTCGTTCAATGCGGAGGTATTCAAAAATACATCCGTAGAAAACTTCAACATATTATCTGGACTGAAATATTAACTCAATCAATTATAATAAAATGGAAAAAGTAAAACTATCATTTAGTCCAGGCCAGCTGTCCGTATAAGCAAGTAAGCAACTAAAGTAAGCCACGTACCAAAGGTTCATTTATCATGACAAAAAGGATTTATCAAATATAGAGCATAAACCAATTTAAACTAAACCGTGTACACTAAATTAATAATATAATATATTTATTTGAAATAATAAATAATTTCCAACAAGATTATGATGCCTCGTTTGATAGCACTCATTTTCGGCTTATCAACCTTATCAGCCAACTTTTTTACCAAACACATAAGTTTTGTTTTCACGCGCTGAATTGTGTAATAATAAGAAAAAGTAAGGTTGAAGTTATTTTTCTGTCTGTATTGGATGAAGTTACTGTAGATGACCATTTTAGCTATTTTTTACATACAGAGTATATATTTTTCTTTATTTTATTAATAAAATATATTTTAAAAATAATTTTTCCTTAAATCAGCAAAATCAGCCAATACAACCACTTCAGCCAAAACTTCATAAATTTCAACAGAATCAGCCGATTTTCGTGCTACAAACGGGCTCTATATATTCCAAAGGCTTAGCTTGCACCTCACATCATAAGCACCACCAAAGGGGCATATTAGTGTAAATGAAAGCAATAATAACATTACATTATTATGAGAAATCAGGGGAACTTAATCCCTACTCATCAAAATGATACTCCGTAAGACATAATATAGCATTTACTTTTAAAGTTATACCACATACTTCCTCAATTCTTTTTAACTTACACCTGTTTCCACTTTTATGTTATCAACGCACAATTTCAACCGTTAATATATTTCATTCCTTGTGAGCAAAAGTTTAAAAATTCAGATTTTAAAAATGAGAGAAATTTAATAATATTTTTCAAAAAACTAAATTTATAATATATTACGGATTACAATAATAAATAAAATATAATCGAAGTAGGGCACGTGATTGGTACAAAATTTAACATATTCCAATTAAGAAAAGAATGGTGGAAGCATATAATAGAATACGGAGTAGTAAACTAGGGGGGGCAAGAATCCCGGTCCCGTTGTCCCATTCCGGTATATCCCGAAACCGTACCGGTGTTGTCCCGTTCCGTTTGGGTCTCATTGATTTTGTCCCGCACCGGTCCCGTACCGGTTTAAAACGGGACGGGACCGGGACATTGGAAGGTTATCCCGAACCGTCCCGTTGTCCCGTTTGTAATAACTATATAGATTTTAATTTGTAGCATGTGACTAGTGTGTAATGTCAACTCAAAAAATAAATGGTAACATGTTTTTAGTTCTTCAAACCCAATTTTTAAATTAAAAATAATATCTAACATGAATATTTACTAACATAGATTTTAATCTCACTTTATATATCTACATATGAGTATCTCACAGCTAGAACACATGATTTTGAATAAACTAATTCATTTTTGCTTTGTTTTAAATTTAAATTTCAAATTTTGCTAAACCTAACTAAAATCTAATACGTAGTAGCTTTTAGCTTGTGATGAACATCAATTAACTTTTAAAATATTAATATTTTGGTGCATGATACTTTAGAAATGCTAATATATATATTAATTACAAATGATTATTTTTTGTTAGTTTGGGACGTCTCGAACCGTCCCGAACCGTTCTGAACCATCCCGGTCCCGATTTAAATGGGACAAGACTAGGACAAAGGCTTGTCCCGTACCGTACCGTCCCGTTATTATTAATTGGGACGGGACCGGGATAACCCTAATCCCGAACCGTCCCGACCCATGCCCACCCCTATAGTAAACTATAAAATCAAGTTCCGGAAACTACTTGGGCCGCCACCATGTGATGTCGGATCAAAATTGAAACTACGGAGTAATAAATAATAGAATAAAGATGCTTTTACTTGACTCATTTCAGTACCATATCAGACTAGATAGATCATATCAGACCATACCACTTCATATCAAGACAGACCAAATCACATTTGGACATGCCAAATCATATTAGGACAAATCAGATCAGACCAAAAAATTCCAATCCAAGTAAAGACATCCTAATTGGACCATCTAATTCCGATCCTAACATATTTTCTATTGATCGCTTCCTATTATTAAAGGTTTTAACCTGGATATTATTAAAAATTGGATAATGGACAAAAGAGTGACTTTTTAAAAATTTCAAAAATGTGACTAATAAGCATTAAACTTTCTAAATTATCCCTAATCTCCAATGACTTTATCTGATAGTGGACATGACTAGCCGCAATGTCCACCGACACAGTGACCTCTGTCAGAGTGATCATCGCCGTCCATATTGGCAGTGATTCTGGCCACGGTGAAAAAGTGACATCAGCCACAATGACGTAATGACTCTAACCACAATGACACAGTGACTCCGACAAAATGACCCCGTCACAGCGACCCCACCACTGCCGATCACCATCACCAGCCCCAAATCCGGCTGCCACCGACTTGTAACTCTAGCCATAGTATCTGTCGTCGACCCCTTATCCCTAGCTACATGTGGTCGTCGCTGCTTTGAACCCTACCACCACCACCACCACACATCCTCAAATTGAAACCAACCCCTGTCAGTCGCAAAACGTACTTGTTGACGATTGAAGCTTGCTTGTAGCCTTTTCTTCACATGCGGTTCTCATAGCCGTTATTGTCTTAACTGAAATCGGACAGGAGGAGGAGGAAGAGGAGGCATAACGACTGCGACTGGTGCGACGACAGCTTCTCCATGGCTGGAAGACATTTGTGGAGGCACCAATTGAAGGAGGCTGCTGGGTTGGACAAAGTAGGAGACATGGAAGGTGATGAAATTTAGAGGCCGTTTGGTAACGCAAGTTTTCGGTTTATCAGACTTATCAACCAACTTTTTCACCAAACACGTAACTTTTGCTTTCGCGTTATTTTGTGTAATAAACAGAAAAAGTAAGGGTTGAAGTTATTTTTCTGGCTGTATTGGCTGAAGTTATTGTAGATGCTCATTTTAGCTATTTTTACATATATATTTTTAGTAGTAAAATATATTTTAAAAATGTTTTTTTCTTAAATCATCATAATCAGCCAATACAGTCACTTCAGCCAGAACTTCATAAATTTCAGCAGAATCAGCCAAATCAGTTTATTTTCATGCTATCAAACGGGCTCTTATAGTTCTCATATTCTATTTATATTAGAGATATTTTTGTCTCATCACATATAATTGATCTCTTCTTTTATTCCATTTTCAAACCGTGTTATGTTTTTGTATAGATAATCCTTATGTCATTATTTCATTTTTAAATATTTAAGATTAGTAAGAGTAACGGTTAGTACCATAGTGAAAATTTATAACGGTGAGTTTCCAAATTGCCTTGACCATAACCAGGCAGGTCCAAACCAAAACCCAGAGTGCCAGTAGCTAATCGGAAATTTGGGTTTCACTTTCAAGTTTCAACCGAAGTATCTCAAATCCTAGCATACTTTTCTTCACGATTCTAGGTGTCAAAGAAATAAGGCGAAATTGACAAGATTAATCCGCAATTTATATGGTACATCCAATTTTTTGTAATTCTTTTTAATTTGAATGGCAAATCAGTTCCTCCTTACTTATTCTTTGTGTGAATGCATCTTTAAGCGTTGTCCATACTAACTATTTTTGGCTTTGTACAATTGTACGTCCATATTTATTTACAACCTTTTCCCATTCCTATCTTTCTGCATCTGCGATTCTGCCTATTATTCTCCTTGTTATTCTTTTTTTTCTTCTTAACAACTTTTTCCACTAATTTGAATTTATAAATATGTGCAATATAAAATGAGCAACTTAACGTCTCAGTTTGCTTTTTTCTTCTTCTTATTCTAATCAACCTTCCTTTATAACTTAAGCATTTCTTTAAATTGTGCATTATAAAATATTTTAGGTATCATATCGTGTTATGTTTTTGTATAGATAATCCTTTGTTGTCTGATGGGGGCATTTTTATTTTTTAACTGGGGCAATTGTATTGGGCTGGGATATTTCTTACTAAATAGTAAGAGGTTAGTAGCACTTTGATGGGGGCAGCTGCCCCCCCCTCCCCCGAAAATACTCTACGTCCACCCCTGTGGTCAATAGTAGAAAACATTATATTTAATGAACATGTTTTGATAAGATATAAGGTTTTCAAATTTGGTATACTCAATTACAGAGTTCATATGTTCAAGAAAGAGAGTTTGATACTCAATGAAAATGTCTTGATACTCAAATAACAGAGCTTGCGATTTTCATATTAATGAATACTTCAGAAGTATAATATTAAATTAGATTCATGAAATTCATGAGAGTTTTTGAAAATACGAAGTATAATTTAAGAAATTTTTATAAAAGAAAAAATAAGAAAAATAGAATAAATTAAAAGTTATGAAGCAGATATCACAATGACCAATATTAAATTCTTAATACTCAACAGAATAGATCTAATGCTCATTAAATCTTACTTGGAGCTCTCGGTCCACGGCGGAAAGATCAAGAATTGAGTTGACACCATGGGATCTCCAACTCCTGGCTCCATGCCTCCATCCAAAGAGGCAAAGAGGAAAAATGGCATCACAAAGTCCACGAGTGTCACCCCAACCCAAGAAGAGTGATTTATAGTTGGAAATGCTTTTCCGGCGTCATCAACCAAAACCATCAGCTAACGAATCGCCAAAAGGAATCGAAATTAAAAATTTAAAACACATAAATGCTAAATTAAGAACCGGCGCTGAGCTAAAATTGGCAGACACTGCAGCGAAAGTGTGTAGGATTGGCAGCATATGAACTAGACTTAAAGATGAATCAAATTACAAAAAACCCAGGATGGGTGTATCATATAGGAACTGAGATTAATCCCTACTTTCACAAATTAAACAAAAATAACCACTACTTCAAACTATTACATGAATAATCCAAACTTCCCATGATGTCCAAATAAATAAAATAAATAAGACCAGCTTTATGTGTATTTCTCTTTATTATTTTCCTGCGGCCTTCCCCATAAATCGAACATGCAATTACTCACCCTCAATTCCTCAAATGGCATAAGTCGAAGCTCACATATGATTTTCTCCAACAACAATTTTATTTCTTCGCAGCCTAAATTTTCTCCAACTCGCTTTTAAGATTTTCATTCCCTTTCACAATTATTTCTTCAGGTTTTAGAGATGGAGATGAAAGACTAGGAGGGTGGAGAAAAATTAGATCTGCTCCAGCTATATTCACGTAACTCTGGTTTGGACGGAAACACAACTCCATCTCATTTATTCTAATTCGGGCGCATGGATGACATGTTCTGCCTTCGGATTATTCATGAAAAAATTTGAAGTATGGATTATTTTTGTTTAATTGGTGAATGTAATTGATGAATGTAGAGTTTAATGTTGTCAATTTCATCAAGAAATAAATAAACATTTTGAAAAAAAAGTACAATGTTTAAATAGAATGCTCCAAGAGTGATACAGATGACTATTTAAACCATTTGTATTGGTGGAGTGGCCAAAATGACAAAAATGGACATTTGTAAAAGGTTGAAAAAGAGCCAATAAGTTACGACTCAGTTTTTCGGCTTATTAACCAAACACGTACTCCCTCTGTCCCATTTTATAAGATGTCTTTACTATTCACTTGGTCAACACAAATCACTCTTAATCTCTTCCTTTATACTCCCTCCGTCCCGAAAACAACCTCCCGGTTTGACTTTCACACACTTTTAGAAAATAAATTTGACTTTACTGTAGAGTGCACTGTTTGGCACTGTTTAAACACTGTTTGGCATTGTTTAAACACTGTTTGACACTGTTTATCACTTTTTTTATGTAGATAATTTGCCAAATAAGGAAAGTATTGAAGTGTGAAGTTAATTTTGGGACATCCATTTAAGGAAAGTGGGAAGTTGTTTTTGGGACGGAGGGAGTATATCAAAATTTTATGAAATTTGAATTATTTTTTTGCAGGTTTTGTAGCGGTTTTAATGTAGTTTCTGAATATGTAATTCTTTTTTTCCTAAAATTAATTTGAGTGCACACAGGGATCTGTTTGCTTTATCGTCGGTCAAACATCGTAAACCGAAAAGTATCTTATAATTTGGGACGGAGGGAGTAACTTTTAATTTTGCGCACTAGATTGTGTCATAATAAGGAAAAGTAAAGTTGGAGTTACACTTCTGGCTATATTGGCTTAAGTTAGTGTACATGATCATTTAACTATTTTTTCATATAATTTTTCTTTATTTTATTACTAAAATATATTTTAAATATTTTTTTTCACAAACTAGCAGAATCAACCAATACAACCACCTCAGTCAGAACTTCATAAATTTAGCATGATCAACCCATTCAGCCGATTTCAATGTTACCAAACGAGCTCTACATATAGACATATAGTTTCCCCTTTTGGCAATCGGCTATTTGTAAAAAGATTAGCTATTAGATTAGATGCTAGCCGCTTATATTAGCTGTTTTGACCACTTTTTTAATTTAGCTGTTTTCACAGATATCTTTGGTTATTGAGCTTAGCCAATTAGTTTTAGCCGTTTGAACTTTGAGGGCATAACCGCATAATATTTAAGTAAAAGCTTTTCACATCTCCATTCTCATGAACTTCCTAAGTATATTTTTTTACAAAAAATACGGAGTAGCTTTTTCTGTTTGGCTAATCCAAACGACAAAACATACCGTGGTACGGGTATATCATGCACATGGTATACCAATACCACATACGTCACCGTTTTTCCTTCTTTTAGTCTGGAGCACTACGTTTCTTTCCTTTCTTTTCCTTCAAGACTCAAGTTTTCCAGATTTCTTTGGAGCACTATCTCTTTATTTTTCTATTTTGCTTTCTCCAATTATTTTCTTCTCTCTATCTACATATTAAAAACTAATTATGATTTTTCTTGTATTTATCTTTAACTAATTAAACTAAAATTGAATTAATTTTTTTCCTTACCAATTTAATACAAAGTTTTCCTAATCCACGTAAAATAAGCACTACAAATTTATTTTTGGTGTAATGTTTTTTTACATCTATACACTTTTTTGTAAAATATTTTTCATATTCATACACTTTTTTTAAAAATTTGTTTTTTTTATCTATTTTATATGTTTGTAACGGTTTTAAGACATTAAGTTTGTTTATTTCGATTTAAATCTGATAAAACATGAGATTACATTTTTCATATGTGTGAATAATGTTTGTACACAATTTCTGGAGTTATATTTGATAGTATATGAAGTTGAATCTTTTTGTGCACGAGTTATAATGTTATATTTGTTTATGCATGAGCTACATCTTCCTATGCGCGAGTTACATTTGAATTTGCCTCAACAAGTTACATTTTCCATACACCTAATTTAGATTTTCCATCAACGCGAGTTATAGTTTCCATAACTCGAGTTACATCACAAAATAAACTAATGCTATTGAAACAAAAAAAAAAAACTTTTTTGTAAAATAATTTTTTTTGGCAAAAAAAATGATTTTTCTTAAAAAACTTTTATGGCCTTGATCTTAAAAACCAAACATATTCACTCTATACTTAAATTAATTGAACAATTAAATATCTTATTTTCATTTACATTTAATATTATGTGAGGTTACATCTTCTTATGCGCGAGTTACATCTGTTTATGCGTGAGTTACATCTTAATGTACGTGAGTTACACCACAAAATAAAACCTTGCTAATGATAAAAAATGATTTTTAAAGCTATATCATTTTTAAGATGTAACCCGCGCATAAGAAGATGTAACGCGTGTATAAAAAGATGTAACTCCAAAAAAGACTATCAAATGTTACTCCAAAAATTGTTTATTAACATAACTCACACATGTGAAAAATGTAATTTCATATTTTATCAAATTTAAATTGAAATAAACAAATTTAATGTCTTGAAATCACTAAATACATAATAGAAAGAAATATATCTTTTTTTTTGCAAAGTGATATGAAATATATTATAGAAATATATTATATGAAAAGTATTTACCAAAAAAGTGTATAAATATAAAAAATATTACACAAAAAATAAATTTGGCAGTAATTTCAGTTGAAGAAAAAAGTAATCATATTAGTATATAATTATGAAATACAATATACTTACTTTATTTAATTAACAAAATTTTGTAATAAATTGGTAAAGAAAAAAAGTTACTTCAATTGTGATTTTATTAGTTAAAGATAAAGATAAGTAAAATTACAATTAATTTTTAGTTTTTGGTGAAGAGGGGACAAGAATTGAAGAAAAAAAAAAGACAAAGAATCCTGGAGGCTTGAGAGAAAACAAAGTAAAAGATATGTAGTGCTCCTAGGATGAGAAAACCTGTAGTGGATTGAAGGAAAAGAAAATCTGTAATGCTCTCAAGAAAAGAGAAACGATATCGTATTTGGTGCCGGTATACCATGCGCATGGTATACCGGTACCACAGTATACAAACTCAATCCGAACTGTTCCTAACAAAAACTGTATGGACACTACAAGTTTGAATTAGAAATATGCAATTTGATTTATTTTCAAGAGAAAATGTTTGAGCAAAAGCATCCATTGTGATTTGTGAAGGAGGTTGTTTCATCATCTCGAGTTATTTTCAAGGAATAATGTTTGACCGAGAGAAAGATCATGTTCCTCCCCAATCTCATAATCACATAGAACTGACCAATCCACATCCGGCCCCGGTTCCGTTCCTCCCCAATTTCATAATCATCTCTGAAAATCGATACCGGAACTGTACCGATAATAACTGGATACCAGAATCGGTTCTGGTTCAGGATTGCCAATTCAGAAAGAACATCTTAGAGCAGACAAAGATATATTACGAACTACACAATTCAAAGAAGGAATGTTTAATACAACAAGTGACTTGTTAGGCCACCTTAGCTCCCAACATGCAAGCCATTCAACATTATCCACAATCAGTTTTTAATAAAGAAAAAATCGCCATTAGGAACTAAAAAATAAAGATGTAGATTAATAAAGAAAACAAAAACAAAAACTTCAAGCACATAAAACTTGGTAAGGGCTTAGGAGCGAAAAAGTAGAGCATTGAATGAACCCCGGGCAACCCCACCAGAAAAGTCATCTAAAAAAGGATATAGTAAATGACAATTCAAAAATTGTTAGAGTTGGAGCGGCTTACACGAAAAGCTGCTTCGTGGCCTCCATTCTCTTGAGCAAGCCTGCGATCTCACTCTGCATTCTAATTTTCATTTTATAGTAATCACATTGAGCATTCTCAAGCGTCTTCAGCTCCTCCAACTTATTCCTCCTTCGTTCCTCAGTTTCCAGAAGGCACAACTCAGACATCTTCCCAGTGTACTCTTCCTCCAGCTTCTCGCTTTGGATCACAGCCATCCTCCTTAGGCTTTCTGCTTCCCTCCGTGCATCGTCCGCCTTGTTCTGAAACATCCTCGCTTCAGCCTCCTTAATACGCACCACACTTTCCAGAGTGTCAAGTCCTGCTGCTGCAGCTGCATCTTTCTTCGGCGCCTTCACAGACCATTCATCTTTAACCATTTGGTCATTACTATTATTATTATTATTATTCATGAAAGCGGCAAGCTTTGTTTCGTTTTGATGTTCAGCTGAATTGTGTCTATTGCTGGTAGAGTTCTTCAAGTCGTAGAAAGATGATGGTTTCAGAGTAAGGGAGGTGGGAGCAGTTGAAGTATGAAGGCTGGCAGCATCTTTTTTCATATCTGATTGACTTGAAAAGCCTTTTGAAAGATAGCTGGAGACCGGGAAGTCTGTCAATCCATCTGTGTCTGTTATTCAAACCCGACAGAGAATTAGACGCTGAAGTTCAGAATAAAATACAACTTTATATACTACAACTTTCACATCTTTAAAAAAAATCAACTTTCACATGAACAATAATAATAATTGTAATAACAGTAAAAATAATAGACAAAAATATGACAAAGCAGTGATCATAGTGGTATTTTTGTTGCGACTGCGGTAACTATGGTGAGGTTCAATTTTACACTGCAGTGACAACATGGTGGTATTCTTGCTGTGATAATCATATTTTTTTCAACCAATTAAATTTTACTAATACTATAAGAAAACCCTCAAAATACAAGTGACGGACAAAAGAATGGTGTTTACAAAAAAGAGAAAACTATGTAGCACTATTCACAAACCTTACTTTGACCACGATTTTCTACTAATATACATAAGCAAATTATTACGTATACGTGGGATATGTGGCAATGTCAAGGGAAAAAATATCAACTTTTTATAATGTTAACTAATACGTAATTAAATATAATTACGGTCAAAGTTGTGCGTTGGCAAACGTGAAAGTCAAACTATTGCAAGAATTAAGGAACAGAGGATAGTATATCATAGTAAGTTGTTGCGTTGTAGAAAGTAAGTCGTGTTAATTTTTTTATGATTTTTTTTGTGTTTAGGAACCGGTAAAAGTAAGAACCGAACCGTTTACTATTGGTTTGGTTCCATAACGGTTCTTGAAATTTTACATAAGAACCGAACCGATTTAATTACTTAAGTTTTTTTTATAACGGTTCCACTAATTTCATATAAGAACCGAATCGGTCCCAGACCTAATTATTTTCTCTTTAAAATTTGATGTCCCCTAACAGCCCCAATAAATATTATATTGAAATAATAAATGTCATAATAAATAAGGACATTTTAATGTAATTAGCCACTTGTTTGGAAAACATAGACAAGACATATATTTGTGTTCTGTTTTCCTTTTAGTAATATTCTAATAAAAAGTCCTGCCATTTATAAGCAGTTAAATGAAACGTATTACATGGTAGGATGA